ACTCTAATTTAGCAACTTTTGAGTTTTAATGAATTATGAGCCTTCCTTGGGGAATCATGATCAAACCTTGATAAAATGATGGATATAACTTAAAAATGTTGAGGTTGACCAAAAATCTTGGGGTTTGACTGTATGTGGGCCCCAGTTGACTTTTGACCTAGTACAATTGATTTTCCAACATCTGAGCAGTTGACTGGGCAAACTTCTTGTGCAAGGCATGAAACTTGGCATGAATGGTCTTGAGAACATATTAGGACTATGGAGAGCATATGAGGACTTTGGGACTCACCCATCTTGATGAAAAAAGAAACCCTAGTTGGAGGTTCATTACTTTAGGAGAGAGTTTGTCTAGTCAACTCTTGGGCATCCTTGAGCAAGTAGAGTATCTTAATGAACATATGTTGAGTAAAAATGGGAGGGAAACTTTTGGGGTACAACACCTGTCTTTGTTACAAGCTGCATAAATCTGTCCATAAAAACCAGACTTGTATCATGCTACAAACGTTGTTGTCTAGAAAAGCTCCAAAATCAGATATGCTGTCAAGTCCAAGCCTGCTGCTACTAGCCCAAAACCATGTCAAAAACAGTATGCTGTCCTGTACAAATCCAGCCATGCACCAACCTGCCACTCCACTCCAAAACTGCTACAAAACAGCCCTGTTATGCTGCCCCTAACCCTGTCTAAGCCTGCACTATATCAGTCCCACGTTTGCACAAAATTAGCACATAAGAGTCGCATCTAAAAAGCAATAAAACAGTATACCCAAAAATTTCAAAAACTTATCTATCTCCCTCCCAAATTTCATTCAATTTCAGCTATAAATAAGTTGTTTCACAACACACAAAAGAGAGAGTTTTCGAAGGAAATGAGAGTTTTTTTTAGAAAGAGAGAAGAGAGAGAGAGTTTTGAAAAATCTAACATAACTTTTTGTAACCTTTGCTCATCTTCAGCTCTATCTTCATTCACAAAAACAAAACATCAACCCAATGTATAACCTTGCAAGTTTTCCCCTAAACATCACTATTTCCAAACTCAAAAACAGCCACCTCCAACTTGCTTTCTCCAAGACAACAACTCAAACTCAAAACACAAATTTCAGTTTCAAGGTAAGTCTTCTTGACTTTGAGCTCTTCATTTCAAACATCATTACTGATTCATTTTTGAAGATAAATGTAGATATCATAGCCTTGAAGCAAACCATATGCTTGCTTTTCATTTTTATCAATTATATGTTATGAACTGACTTGTACATGTAGCAAAACAATGTTAGAAGTGAAAAAATAGGTTATGAGTCGATGCATATCTCTATGTGTTGAAACATATATGGTGTAAAACATGTTATGGGTTGACACAAAACAAGCATGAGTCAACTCATTTAGTTATAGAACATGGTATGCGCCGATACAAGGCCTTATGCATTGATGCATACTATTATCTAGACATAATACAGAGAAGCAAAAGGTGTTTGAGTCGATGCAAAACACGAATGTGTCGATATAAATGAGAAATGAGTCGACACAAACCATTATGTATCGACTCATACTGAGTTGATTTTGATTTTCCAGAAATAAGAAGTGTTATGTATCGATGCATAAATGCATGTGTCGATACATAAAAGTTAAAAAAAAAAGAATTTTCCTTTCTTTTTACACTTTCTTTATATTTTTTATAAATTTTTTTTGATTACTATTCATTTATTCAATATGGTTGTAATAATTTAATTAGGCTTCTACTTCATCCCCATTTATAAATTGTACCCCCATCCCTCAAATGATGTAATAACGTAGGATTTTAATTTCCACAATTTATCGATTTTGATATAATTGTTAGTAATTAGGGTGTGTATGGCAAGATAAAAAATCTTAGAAAACCCTAATCTCAAGACAAAAATGCATGCAATCAAACACACTTTTCACACGCGCACCACTAGGGTAATCTCACTTGTTGCCTACGAATAAATAGTCATGTCCCTCGAATGTGGGACGCTTTAGCAAAGGCGCTCGATAAAAAAGATCGTAGTCCCTTGATGACCCTTCGATGCTGCCTTTGGTAAAACGATCTTAGTCCCTCACGAGAATTACTAAAGCGTCTCATAGATTTCCTTCTATGACTATACGACGACCCGCGCCCGTCCCTTCACATCTAATGATAGGGCTTCTTATCAATCAATGGTAAGATAACAATATCTAAAAGAGGAGGAAAAGAACTAAGAACCTTTTGAAATGGTAGAATGTTCATAGTTGCTTGCTCATAACATTTTCAAAACAAAATCTTTCAAAGCACACCAACACTTTTAAACATGAAATATTTTCAAAAAGAAAACACTTTGTATGCATTCTTATAGAGACGAAAATCATTACAAAGTTCGCCTAAACGAAGGCACTTTTCAAAAATACTTTCAAAATCATCACAAACACATTTCAAATAAATCATTTTCAAAGTGAGCTAGCAACTATGAATCCATAGATAACTACAGATGAAAATGGTGCTAACACCTTCCCTTTTCATAACCTACCCCACGAACTCAAGAAAATTCTCGAAAGGTCTTTCCTGTTCTTTTCACCCTTTCCTTTATTGGATAAAATAAAAGTCAGTGGCGACTCTTGATATTCGCAATAATTACGATAAAACGCAAAATACCTAAGTCAGTTCTCCCACTGTATTACACCATGACACTGAATCCCTTTACTTTGAGTATATATTTCTTCAGTTCTGATTTTTTCTTGAGAATCATAGTTATTGCTGATGTCAGATGGGATGTTCTTGACATTTGGTCTTCCCCTTATGTCCATTATTTTTAGAATTATATTGAATTGCTTCCCAAGTAATATAATGGTACTTGACAATTCTTCCTTAGTATCCAGATCAGCCTGGCCCTCTTCATCTTCAGCATTGGATACAAAAGCTATGCTCTTGTTCTTTTTCTCATACTTGTCACTAATAGCCAATTCAAAAGTTTGAGTGACCCAACAAGTTCATCTACTCTCATGTTGTTGATGTCTTGAGCTTCTTCAATAGCTATTACCTTCATGTCAAATTTCTTAGGTAGAGACCTAAGAATCTTCCTAACAAGCTTTTCTTCTAACATATTCTCCCCCAAGGCACTCGATGCATTTGTTATTTCAAGAATCTTCATGTGAAAGTCCTAAATGCTTTCATCATCATTCATCCTTAGATTCCCAAATCTAGTTGTGAGAAGCTAAAGTATGGACATCTATACTTTAGATGTGCCTTCATGAGTTGTCCTGAGGATTTTTTAAGCATCTTTAGCAACAGTACAAATATTTATTAACCTAAAAACATGATTGTCCACTCCATTGAATAGAGCATCAAGGCTTAAACATTTCCAAGAGCTAATACATCTTCCTCTTTAGACTAACCTTCTTCTGGCTTCAAAGACTCATTTCCATCTCTGCCCTTCACAACATGATGATTCCATCCTTTCAAAACATTCTTCTAAGATTTGATGTCCTTGGATTTTAGAAAAGCCACCATACGAACCTTCCAATAGTCATAGTTTGCACCATCTAACAAAGATTATCTGTTATTGTATCCTTATTCCTTGTCCATAGAACCATAAAATATTCTCTCTGAAGCTCATTCAATAAACATAACAGGGTGTATGCTCTCATGGAAATTGGAATTCTAGAACTTTCAAATAGATGTTAAGACAGATGTCACAATACCAAAACACAATGTCAAGACATATGTTAAGACATCATCTTCCTGATATAACAATTTATAGAAATTATGAATTGTCCAAAAAGTAAATCACTGATGATAAATAACACAATCAATTGTTAACTCAGTTCAGTGCAACATCACCTACTCTGGAGATATCTAAGCTTGGAAGGAAATCCACTATGATAGTATTAGTTCAAAGCTAAACAACCCTAGTTTACAACTTATCACCTAAGCACTACCTATGCAATTTTTACCTAGGAACCTCCTAGATATGAGAACCCCTTCTCACTTCCTACAATCACCTCAGTGATAATAACAAAAGACCAAAATAGAAGAACAAACTTCCGATTAAACACAATAAACCTTTTGCTTAAATGTTCGTGAGTAATTGACAATGAACAATTAACAATCAGTCAAATTTTATGCATTAAACAAGATACATGAGTCACATACAAAAACAAAACACACATGAAAAACTCTCAAACCCTAAGACACTTGAAAACTAAGCTTCCCCTTATTTTTTCTTAAGTTGTTTTTAACATTAGATTTAGGTTTTTCTTTATAAACTCCTCAGCAATCCATGGGCTTCGAAATCTTCACCCAATTTGTTATTGATCCACAAGTTGAGGGTTGCACCAATTATGCAGAAAAATCTCCTTGAATTATAGAACAAAAAATCACAAGTTTCCTAAATTGTCGCAACATTCAATTTTAGAAACTTATACATACTTGGAGATAAAATCACTTGTTTCAAATATATGTTTCTGGACCTGCACAAGTATGTGAGATTTATCCATAGGGAAACTCACAAAATCAAATTAGAACTTTTCAGAAGCAACAACAGCACCTACCGTGGAAGTTGGTCAAGATGTCATGACATCTTACTCAATATCTAGCTGTGATACATGTTTTACCAAATGAAACATATTTTACCAAAATTATTGTCAATCATAAAATCACATACCACACACATGGTATTACAATAAAGACATTGCATACTTTTCTAGAATATCTTTTCTTATATTATAGATTTAATGTAAAAAGATCAAATAAGACCAGTTTAATGTGATGGCAGAAAATTCGATAAGAATATTGTAAATTTTTCCAGAACATCTTTTTTTCCTTATATTATAGATTTTTGCACCTCTTTCTTTCAAAAGTTAAAAATATTTACTATTTTAAACAATGTACGACTTATTGATTTGATCGTTTTAAACATTACATTACATTTAAATTTGAAATTGCATCATAACTTTTTCTACTATATTTTTCTAATATAAAAAAATCAATGTTAAATATAAGATATGCAAACTACCTAATTACAACATCCAATAGCACGTGCAGGCCATAAGACCCAATCCTCAGCTGTTGATTCAACATCTTCTATAGTTGGCATTTGAACCTTTCCATTCTTCATCTTTGTTCCTCCATTGCCTTTTGTTTTTATGCCACCAGTTTTGGCTGCACGTACCAACTTATTCATAATTTCTTCCATGTGTTTCATTGAATTCTCCATTGTTGTTAACCTTGCTTCTATATTACTTTGTTGTTCCTTTATTTGATCTTGTCGCTCTTTTTGATTATCTTGTTGCTCCTTGATCTCTTTGAGGTTGTCTTTTAAATTCAATAACGTTGTGGTTTCTTCTGTCATTGATGAATTAATTTAAATATCAATTGATAAATTGAACTTAATTTTGACAAAAAGAATTTTTAGTTTTATGAAAGGAGATATTTTTTATTTCTCTATTTTTTTTTAAATCTCTCTCTCTCTCTCTTTTTAAGGTAGTGATTACAAAATCTTAACATTTGTTCTATAAATTTGCTATAATACAAGTGTTTTGAACTAATTTTCTTTTTAGCCAACTATTGTGTCTATTCATAGATAATTGTTAGTGTAACAACCTAAATTATTATTTTATAACTAATTCTACATACTTGCTTCCTTTTTTAGGTAGTTCTAGAACGTATAAGTTTTTATTTTTTAGGGTATTATATAAGTTTTCATATATGATATACAATAAAAACAAATATTTTTCCACGCATGTTTATTGTTTTTATGTTAGTTTTATACTTTCCCTCAAATTAATTTTAATTACAAATCAATTATGCTCAATTATGCTCATGTTGAATATCAAAATTATAATTATACTTTACTACATAAGAGTAGGACAAATAAACAAATGAGCAATCATACATTAACTATGATGTACAACAGGGGTATTCAAATTCTAACTATCCAAATTAAAATTGAAAATTAATCTAAGTAAACCTAAGATTGCACAAAATAAAATATTGTTTAATATATTTTGATGTTATTTTGTCAAAATCATTTGAATCCAATCGACTTTTGCATTGAATTTTCAAAACCATATCAAATTGCATACATACATTAAATATTTTTTATTTTTTATATTAGTATGATATATTATATTAATTTATTATTAATTAATTTTTTAATACAATTTACTAATTTAATCTACTTTTGAATACTATTTTATATACTTTAAACATAATTGACAAATTTCATTCTGAAATATTAATTTTAATATATTCTACATTATATTTTATATCAAACCTATTATTTTATCATGTCTTACTAGTGCAGAAATGACTTTTTACATCGGGTGAAATTGATTTTTTACATCAGTTTTGGGTCCGATGTAAAGTCAGGCGATATAGTAAATCAGGGACTTTTTACATCGGTTTTGGGACCGATGTAAAAAGTCCCTTTTTTACATCGGTTATAATATCAGAACCGATGTAATAACCTGTTATTATGCACATTTTTTTAAAAAATTGATCCAGTTTTTTACATCGGTCGGAAATAATACCCGATGTAAAAAGTCCATTTTTTACATCGGTTATAATATATGAACCGATGTAAGAAACAATTATTATGCATATTTTTTTAAAAAATTGATCCAGTTTTTTACATCGGTTGGAAGTAATACCCGATGTAAAAAGTCCCCAGTGACGCGACTTTTTACATCGGTTATTATCCCCAACCGATGTAAAAAGTCCTTTTTTGAAAGTTTTCACATCAGTTTTGAGTAATAACCGATGTAAAATGTATGAAATTTTTTTGGAATAGATTATTTATTTTCTGGGTTTCCCTATACAAATATAATTTGTACCCATTTTTTCATATTTTTCCAATATCAAACAGACTATATTTATGTCGCTATATAGATTTCATAGCTTTCCAACATCACATATATCACATTTAGGTCGATGTTTTCATATTTTTCACAACAAACTTACAAATTGAACAATTGTATTGCAAACTTGTATTGTATTACAACAAACAAACTTACAATTAAAAATTCTTCACAAAATATAAAACAATATTCAACTATTTATAAGTCTTTTTCAAAACTTACAATTACATAATATTCACAAAATATACATATACAAAAATATTCAACTATTTCTAAGTTTCCAAACTTGAATTACCAATATAAAATCTTCGGTAGACAACACCAAAATCATATTGCCTGACAATAAATAATAACAATTAACATCAGCAAAAAAAATCAAGAAACTCAACACATGAGCAAAAACCACATGTATTGTGCAAAAACCACAACTTATACAATTCTATAAAACTCACCAAGATAAACTTAAGTTCCATGTAACTCAAAGAAACATTTTGCCCAACGAAGTCGCAAATCATACAAATCATCTAGTGTTAATTCTGTTGGGTCATCAAATACCTATAATACATAAATATAACAATATAGAGTTATTTTTTAAAAATTCATATTAAGTCGAAAAACAAAAAGTAAATAACAAAGTAAAGTTATTTTTAGTACCTGCATCCAATTCTCGGTTATATTAGCAGAGACAATATCCAACATATTTTTCATCACATAGTATCCACAATCATTAGAGTTATGTTGTTGCCTTGTCTACAATTGAATGACATAATTAGTGAATATTTATCATAAATTTAACTATAGAATTATAATTTACATCACACTTACATTGGGATGAAGCCATGTAGCCTTTTTTCTATTTCCATTTTTCATTTGATGAATCCCAAAAGAACTAATACAGAAAGATATAAACATCACATAACTAAATATACTCGCCAATGAAAAATCACATAACTATTAGTTGTCAATGAAAGTCACATGAAAGATAAACTTACTTTGTAATAATTTTCTTCGTGTTCTGGTCAATTTCTCGATGAAGTGAACAAAATACGACAACTAAATTGTCTCTTGGACACATGACTATTAATTGCCAATGTCTCCTGTACGTGTGTGTGGAAACAGAAAAGTCACATAAAATATATATGTTATCAAAATTAAATAATATAAAACACAATTTCATAAAAATTCTTACCCATGAATTAATGGTAGTAAGTGGCACGCTCTGTTTTCATCACATAACTTTTCTAGCACATAATTTTTAACATCTTCTTGAGATTTCGCTACATTATCATTATAAATACACCTAGCAGGGTCCGTAAATCCATATAATTCTGAAAAGGAATTCTCAAGACAAACACGATGAATATACCTGAATAATTTTAAAATTAACATTAGAATTAAAGTGATGAGAGATATAACATATTAATAGAGATTGACTTTAATAAAACAATAAAATGTACTTACGTGCACCAAATTTGCAGAATAGACACGTCAAGAAAATGACCTAAACCCACCAATAACTCTCTGATACATTTAGCTGAAACATAAAAATTAGAGACACTCGCACAATGACTTAATTGTACTGCCAAATGGTTATCATCCAATTTCAAAACCATGAGTAACAATCTCTAAACATCATCAACTTCCACGTCTTTTGTGCTCTCTTTTGTGCTTCCCTTTGCAGCTGAACAACTTCCTTTTCCGCTTCCATCGATAATTTCCAATTTTTCAATGCATTTAATATCACCTGTGCTTTGTGATAAACCCATAGACTTAAGTGTCTCCATTAATGATTGCTGAAACATCTTACGCTCTTCAACCAACTTTTCTTCAAGTTCAGCTCTAAGTTTTGTTTCCAATATTGCAAGTTGTTCATTTACGTCGATATGTTGACTTTTTCTTCCAAAGTAAGTGCTTTGTTTATGGTGTTTTCCAACACCACGAACACGACCTCCATGCTCAAATGTTCCAATGGCTAATGATAAGATATCGTTACGTCCATCTGGAACAATTGCACCTTTTTCAGCTTCTTGAACAAGAGAATCCTACAAAATGCAAAAACATCAATTAATCAATCACAAATATAATGATACTTGAATAATTTTTCGTTGTTTACTTACAATTTTTTCAGCAACCTCTTGTGTAGATTTTGATGTGTATTCTCCTCCTTTCTTTTGTCGTGCTCTCTTCCATAACTCATGGCGTGATGGTGGAGATGGACTATCATTATCATCTAATGTGGAATTATCTCTCGATGATGACTTTTCTTTCATAATTTTCTCCTCAAGTAAGCAATACCCTCCACGAGACAATACATGTGGGTATAAATTCTTGGCCACATTATCCTTACCCTTCTGACTTTTTTCCTATTATAAACTCAAACAAGTAATTAATCACTAAATATAATAAAAATGTTATGCACACAAAAACATATAACTCCTACTAACCTTAAATTCAGGGGTATCTCGAATCTTGAGAAACTCTTTCCAGGCGTCTTCTGTAATAAAGTTATACTTGACATATGGAGGAGGATCATTTTCTATGGGATGATGAATATATCTATCTGTGAGTTGTGTCTTAAAACCTCTCCATCGCTCTCCCGCATATTTAATCCATTCTTTCTTCAATCTATCCTTCTTTGGATCTTTACATTCTGGAATAGTAAAATGAGCCTACAAATGTAGTATGTCATATGTTGTTAATTAATATATGATTATAAAATATAATAAAGTATTGTATTTAAAATACCTGAATATCAGTCCAAATAGCATCTTTTACGCCTTCATCTACTTCTTTCCAATCATTTTTCACAATGCTACAATACTGTCGAGCAAGAGATGCTATATAACTCTTGAAATGTGTAGCATTTTTACCAACACCAATACATTCATAGGTTCTTGCATTAAACTCGACCTTTATCTTTTCACCTGTTTGATGAACTTTGTCAATTTGTGTCATTAAAGTGGGACCTCTAACTCTTCTTTTATTGGGGTTTGAATCACCCATGTATCTGTTTACACAAAACAAAAATAATTAGAAATAATATTAAGCACAAAATAAAAACAATTAGAAATAAAATTAAGCACAAAATAAAAACAATTAGAAAATAAAGTAACGTGGAATTAACTTATACAAAAAATCTTACTAGTCCTCCCATATCCCTTCTTCATGGTCTATGCGAATAGCATGCACATCATCCCCTTCATTTTCTTCAATGAATGTAGTCACATTTGTTGAGAAAGGATGAGTTTCAGAAATATCAAGATTCTCATCATGATTTTCATCACTATCATGGACCTTTCCTTGTAAAACCACTGACCACTTTTTATTAGAAGGATCTGTGACATAAAACACTTGTTTTGCTTGAGATGCCATGATGAATGGTTCGTTCGCATAAGCTAACTTGCTAAGATCAACCAGTGTAACTCCAAATTCATCGATTCTGACACCACTGTTGATATCAATCCATTTGCATTTAAATACAGGAACTTTAAAC